CGCGCTGCTGGCCCGGAAGGGGCCGGCCGTGTCTCCCGCCGGCCCGGCGCGGCCGCCCCCTTGGCTCGGCTGCCGCGGCCCTGACCCGTGCTCGGCCGTTCGCTTTCAGGTCGCCTGGTACCGCGCCACGGCGGGACCGCCGCCGCTCCACAGCGTCTCCGGCAGACCCTCGCCGCGACCCGGCGGCGCTGAGGCCTCCGCAGCGGCAGCGCGGGGAGCCCGCGGCGGGAATGCAGCCAGTCCGGAAGCTTCGGGAAGGGCTCAGTGCTGCCGGGGGCCGGCGGCGGCGAGGAGCCGCGGGCTGGTGAGCCCCGTGTCGGTCTGGTGCGTGTCACAGCGGTAGGTGAGGGGCTGCAGAAACCAAGGAATTCCCTGAACCTCCCGGTCCAGCTGCGTGTCTGTGTGTCTGCGGGACTGGGGCGATTGTTTAGGGCGAATGTTGTTCATTGTTGATGGCAAAAGAGTGTGAGTTTGTGGTATTACTCCGATGGACTGATGGAATGAGCATTTAGTTCCCAGAGTAATTGCAGACTGAGTGGGCCAGGAGGACATCCCAGGTAGCACGTGTGCTCCACAGCAGTCAGGATGACAGGAAGCACCGCAATCTCTTGCCAGTATTATAAATACAGAGAGGTAGTGCAATATCAGACAGCTAATGTCATTTTATTTATCTTTCCTTTGTGTTTTTAAGACCTAGTGGGTCACATGCCAGCATTTTGAAGGCCATGGTCATTTAGGCAGGTATATGGGTTGAAAAACTTTTGAAGCACGGGATGTGCATTCCACAAGATGGTAACAGTGGCAGGAACCTGATGTACAGACCTTGGATCAGGGAACATGGTGTCAAAAAGGATGGCATGTGTCCCCGTGCTCAGAGCACTTTGAAATCGGCACCTGGGTGGAGGGGAGCTTCCATGTATAAATGGGTGGTGCATAAGCCATCAAATGCAGATCCCTGGCTCTGATGTTACCTCTCATATTGCCAGAAATACTTCTGTAAATTGTTTAGATGGCATTTTCATTTGCCAGACCTTAAAGGATTAAATAGCATGTAACTGTAGGGGAAAAGCCAATCCAGGTATATACATCTTCTAAAAATAAATTGTGTAGTTGGTCAAAATAATCTGTCAGGTTGCTTTTAGCAATCCAGGTTGTTTCTGTGTACCACGCGTCCTTCATGTAGCACCCTATAGTGGCTGCACCTTGAGTAACAGTTCCTCAGTGCCAAGCAGGGGTATTAGCCTTAAATACCATTTTGAAATCATGGAAGTCTCATGCACATTGCTGGCAGGGACTGCCTGAAGTTCACAAACCACCACCAGCCTCACTAGATTATAACTGACTTAACTCAAGCTGTGCTGTAATGGAAATCAGGGTTTAGATCAGCTGCAAAAACATTTTTTTGATAATTGTTGTATAAGTGGTCCTGTTATAAAGGAAAACGAACTGTTGCCTGGTAATAATTACTTCAGTGCTTCTCTGCTGTATTTGGTAGAACGACCTCTGTTTATGTGTCCTTCAGGACCTCAGATCTAGCCAAGCTCAAGGTCTTAAACTTCTCAACAGAACATGAAAATCCAGTGTGGGTTCAAGGTGCTCTTTCTCTGCAGATGAGACAGCAGGTTAATTAACTGCAACTTTCAGAAATTTTTAAAACTCTGTTAGAAGTGTTCTTGTAGTTTAAGCCTGTGACTACAGCTGTTTACCAGTTTGGGCTGGGATAGAGTTAATTTTCTTCATAGTATATCCTGTGTTTTGGATTTGTGCTGACAGCCTTGCACAGCCCAGGGCTGTTCTGCTCCTCCTGGGGGGACACGGGGTTGGGAGGGGACACGGGACATGGGGGACAGCCGACGCCACTGACCTGATGGGTGTCCCACACCATATAACGCTGTGCTGGGGGGGGGTTGGTGGGGGCACCGCTACCGGGGGACCGGCTGGACATCAGTTGCTTGGTGGTGAGCAATTGTGTTCATTTGCATCACTCACTTTCTTTGGGTTTTATTTTTCTTTCTGGCTTTGTTGGTTTTTTCCCCATACAAAATACATTTTTTAAAATTATTAAACTGCTTTTATCTCAATCCACAATTTTTTTTCTCACTTTTACCCTTCCAGTTCTCCTCACCATCCCTCCAGGGGGAGAGTAAGCAAGTGGCTGTGTGGTGCTTAGCTGCTGTCTGAGATAAACCATGACAAATTGTTATTTAAGTTACCTGTTTTTTTCTGCCACGGGGAAAGGCAGAATGAAATGATCAGAATTTGTAATGTTACTGCATGTATTTTACGTTTTTTATTATTTCTTTTTTTCTTAGACTGTCTTCTGTACCCACCACTGCTGTCCTTGTGATGTGTATCTTATTAGTGTGAGCATAGACCTTTCACTGTCTGAATTCCATTGCACAGTGAATGAGGAAATCTAATGTGTCAGATGTAATTTAGCACTTGAGGAGTGCATATCTCAATTCCCTTTGAAATTTCCTGTTTCAATTTGAAAGTGTAGAGAAAGGAAAAACTGCTGCTTTCTCAGGGTCTCTGAGGCTTGAGTAGAGAACAGTACAACATCCATCAGATCTGCAGTTTGTCAGTTTTCTCCTTCAAATTGTTTGGGCTTTCCTCAGATGTAAGATACCAGGTGCTCTTGGAGTGATCCACTACTGTGAAAAAAGCTGCAGGGTCTCCTGCTCCTCTGCTCATGTTTGTTCTTTTATTTTTTGATGTAGGGAAGGAGAACTGAGATATACTACAGTAAGAAAAACAGTATGATGGATTCAGAAAGTTCTGCCCCAAAGAACTCAAAGGAATATCTAAGGAATGATGTAACGGCTACCTCTGGTAAACATTATCTTTGTGGCTACTGTGCGGCCTTCACAAATATAGCAGTCACGTTTCCCATCCAGAAGGTCCTCTTTCGACAGCAGTTGTATGGTTTGAAAACGAAGGATGCGGTACATCAGCTGCAGAAGGATGGAATTCGAAACCTCTATCGTGGCATCCTCCCTCCACTAATGCAGAAAACGACAACGCTGGCTCTGATGTTTGGCTTGTACGAAGATTTCTCCTCCCTGCTCCATATCCATGTGAGTGCCCCTGAGCTCCTCACTCGCAGCATGGCAGCAGTGCTTGCAGGGACCACAGAAGCTCTTCTTACACCATTTGAGCGGGTTCAGACTTTGCTTCAGGACTACAAACACCACGATAAATTTACAAACACTTACCAGGCTTTCAAGGTACTGAAAGTCTATGGGTTGAGAGAATATTATCGGGGATTGGTGCCTATTCTGCTCCGGAATGGACCCAGTAACGCACTCTTCTTTGGCCTACGGGGACCTATCAAACAGTGTCTGCCTGAAGCAACTTCTTACAGCACTCATTTGGTCAATGACTTTATCTGTGGAGGGCTGCTGGGTGCCATGCTGGGATTCTTGTTTTTCCCAGTGAATGTTGTAAAAACTCGCATGCAAGCTCAAATTGGTGGTGAATTTCAGTCCTTCTCAAAAGTTTTCGTGAAGATCTGGCTGGAACGTGACAGAAAACTGAACCACCTTTTCAGAGGAGCCCATCTGAATTACCATCGTTCTGTCCTATCCTGGGGAATAATCAACGCAACCTATGAATTCTTGCTAAAGCTATTGTGAAAACCACTGTCTTCCTTGGGCTCTTCTGTTTGTTTGGGGATCGGCACATACGTTGTCACTTAATCCAAGGGAACAGTGCCTGCGTAGTGTCAAAGGTAATTAGTCTTGGCCTTTGATATTTATGGGGTGAATGGTGATGCAATTAAGATGAACTTTTTAAAGTATTTATTTGCTGGCAGGTGAGTTTACCCATAATGGAACTACTCGACAAACACAAGGCTTAAAACAACAAAAAAAAAAACAACAACAAAAAAAAGACTTATGTTAGTCCAGCGGCTTATTCCGTATCACTCCCAAAATTTATTAACGCTCCGTGATGGAATATGCTCCACTGCCCACGGTGTAGAACATGAGAATCGAGGAGGGGGCTGATGAAAAGTTATTCCCTTGTCTGATAAACTACAAAGTCTCGATTTAAGAGCTGCATTTTCAAATGTTTTAGGGTCGAAAGTACTCGTTATTGTTTAAAAGGACAGATCCAGATGAAGATGACTGAAGTTTGGAACTTCAAGATTAACCTAAGCCTACGCAAACTCTTCTGCCAGCTGTTCTGACACCTGGCTTTAAGATGAATGTTTCATTCAGCAGTGTCAGAGTGGTTACTCCATGTTTAACTTCAGCGTGAGGTGACTCCCGTTCAAAGTGGGATCTCTGTGTGTGTATGTATGTGTGTGCCTTCATGTGAAAAAGGGAAAAGTGGAAGGAATGAAACAGCAAATTTACTGAAGCTTTAAGTGTCCTTCCTTGTTAAAAAACCTACTTATAAACATGGAGTTTGTTCTGCTTTTATTTTTTTTTCTGTTGTTGCATTGCTGCTGTTCCTGTTGCTGACAGCTGTGGGGCCGGAAAGGAGACGGCCTTTTCTCTAATGCTCATGGAATGGTTCAGCTGCCTGCAGCTGTGAACGTAGTTCACAAGCACGGCTCTCTTGTACTGAGATTTCTTGTCTTTTGCAAATCACTTCTGTTTCATTTGGGCTGTGGATCGCAACAAGAGACTTTTACCTGGAATTTGGAGTCCTGCCTACTTGCTGTGCACTCTGTAAGAGTTCTGTAAGACAGGACTGTACAGCAGCACTGACGGGTGAGGTGTCGGGGCATTACCCAGTCCAGCGCAGGTCTGTAAGTGCAGCAGAGACGACAGCCAAAGACGACCTTAGGTAGGAAAGCAGATATGGCATTTGGAGACATGTTTAAGGATTTCTGTAGGTGAGTACTGAAAAAGATTTACAGAAATATGAAGTACTGTGTGTCTTACAGACTTGGAAGTTGAGAGACTTCAGGCCTTAGAGAAAGGGCCAGAAGAGCAAGCATGAGCATAATGCAGGTGGGGGTCTTAAAGACCATTTGATTCTCTTGGGGGACTTCATGTTGTGAAACTCTCTGTACAAAACAAAGTATTTTGGATGATGGAGGGCAGGAAAGATTTCAGAAACTGCTCTGAATTGGTCTTTTCTTAGGTTTTGGAGTGGCTATCACTGTTCTAATTTGAGTTTTCCATTTGCTAAACTGTCTCCAAATACTGATTCTAATCAGTGTGTTATAATCATAATATAGTCCCCAGCTTCACAGTCAGAAATGGCCAGGCACAAGTGAGCATTCTTGTATCCAAATGTTGTGATTATCTGCATTTAAATAAAATGTTTACTGAATGTTTGTTACTGTCAGAATCTGATTTTTAGCAGTGTACTTTTTTTGTAATCACTCCTTGATGGAATAAAAATAATTTGCATCCTGTTTCTCTGTGGAAGATACTATATCCTTCTGTAACGTTGGAAAATCTGAAGTGCTGAGGGTAGGAGTTCAACATCAGGCTGCCTCTGGCCAAGTGGTGACTGGTGCGACTGTAGCAGAAGACAAAAGCAGGGTCATGGTCTGTTGCTGTCTGTGACGCGGCAGCTCAAGGGAGCACGAACTGTGCTCAGGTATTGTCTGGTGTGATGTGTTGCCACTGACAGTTTTACAACACAGCTAAAGGAGTTGGGTGCTTAACAAATTACAGATGTTTCACATGTAAGAGGACCAGTGATGAGAGGGGCGCGGTGAGTTTTGGCACCCAAGTTGCTGTGAGATGGAACATGTTTACTGAATGGGCTGTATCAGACAGGGCAGAGCACCCAGAGGGGGGTTGCGGTGCTTGAACTATCACATAAACAACCGTTCAGGCATTTTGGGATTGTTTCCAGCCTCAGCTGCCTGTAGCCACACTCAGTGCAGTTGCAGTGTAAGAACAGGTGTGATGCAAGGATGGGAAAGAGCCGATCTCTGAACCCAGCCCAGCTCCCCACGTTCCTGTGTGTCCGTGTGCAGGGCAGGGACGATGAAGGCGAGACGTGGCCTTGGCCTCAGTTCTCTGCCCTGGTGCCTTGGCACCTCTAGCTCACTCCTCTGGTGCCTTCTCTCCTCACTGCAATGCCACAGATGGAAGCAGAACTAAACCAGGACGTGTCCTGGACAGTGAGAGGGGCCAAGCCTCAGCCACTGCCTTCTCCAAAAGCCTGCAGCTGGGACCTGCCTGTAAAGCAGAGTTTTGAAAAGGATTTCTGGTGTCTGGGCAGCCCTCGGTGCACTCCAATGGTCACTCCCAGCTAAAGAAGGGAAGGGGAATCCCACCGGTAAGGTAACAAGGAATACTGCCGAGATAAAGATTCGTAAAGCTAGACTTTGGGTAATAGCTACTTTGAGCAAAGGAGGGCGATACTACAAAATACTGCTCTGTCCCTTTCAGGCATGTTTCTTTTCCAAAACTCTTGTATACTTACGTCATGGCTGAGCGCTGGCCTGCAACCAGAACCAGGCAGCTGCTCGCTCCCCCTGAAAGAAAGGTGGGGGAAGGGTGAAAACCCCCACGTCATTGTTTGAGCCTCTAGTAGAGTTTAATAACAGAAAAAGACTAATGACAAGGGTCACACTCATTGCCCTGTGAATTGGCACCATCCTGAGCAGTGACCACGCATTCCTGCCCCCAGCCAACCCCATCTATATCCTGAGGATGATGGCTGTGGTACAGAATATTCCATAGGCCATTCCATTGTTATGTCTCTTCTTCTATGGGAAGCTGAAAAAAAAAATCTTCAAAAAGTGTAAATACCGGTTAGCAACAACTGAATCCAATAGGTATTACTGACCTTCCTTTTACAGCTTAAGAAAGAAAATTAACTCCCAGCTGAAACCAGCACAACCTCTTTTATGTTACCCAGGGAGCCAAACTGCGCCAGTTGTCTGTTTGCAGGGGAGGTGGAAGGAACACAGCCTTTTACATGGGAAAGTAAACTAATTTGACAGCAACAGCTCTCAGCAGCCCTTATGTGATGGTGAGAGCTCCAGCACCAGCGATGAGAACCAAATGTCACACATTGGTCAGGCTGTGCAAGTTGTTGGGTTTTTCTCACAGAAACCAATGCTGTCACGTCACTAACAACCAGAGTGCCAGTTTTCCCCTCATGGATTATGCAATGTATAATGAAGGGCAAGACCAAGCCACAGGCACTGACAGGCCCAAGCAGCATTTTTGTGGTGTCAGAGTAGGTAATCTGGATGTAGCACATTATTTTATGCTGTTCACCGCTGCCTGCTCTGCCAGCCTGCATCAAACAAGGCTGTTGGACAGGTAAGAGGTTCAGAGTCAAATTTTGACTCTTCTGATCTCATTTTCAGGAAAATATGACAAAACATCACTACAGCTGGGTTCGTGATGCACAAGCCTGAGATCTGCAGAGCAGTGGCGTATTGCCACCTTTACAGCAAAGCCGGGGCAACAAGGTGTGCTCATTTCTTCACCTTGTATTCTCTTTGCCCCAGCGCAAATGCACCTGCTGATTTAAACCCAGATGGCATGCTGCTCCTGCCTGTCAGCAGCCGATAATGCCCCGAGCACTCAGTGCCCCACGTGCCCCATCACTCCTGCCGGACACCCAGACGTTCTTCTGTACCTTGGCTGATGCACAAAACCTGAGTTTGGTGCAGATGCTGCTTTCACTGTGCCTGGTGTCTTCACTGGAGCCCAGCACTTCCCCAGGGGAAGCACAGCAGGGCAGAGCCTTGCCCCTGGCACAGGCCACCCAGGACCCACTGCTGGGCCATGGCCGCCCACGGTGGCGCAGGCAGGACAGTTCCCACGAGGTTCCCAGCTTCAGGCTGGTCCCTGTGGGCAGATCTGAGTTGCCTGCTCTGCACTGCAAGAGCTGCACTGCTGCCTTCAAGGGTTTGCTGTTTGAACAAAAGGAGCTCTTTACCCTACAGGTACTGTCTCGGGTGATGGAATGGTTAATTACACTTGGTTTGTAGTCATGACACTGCCCCCAACACGTCCTGCTCTCTAGGCTTCAGAAGTGATCGGTCTCCTCTCACCACCATTCCTGACAGTATCACAGTGGCCAAGAAACCTGTGGAGGGGAACAGACCTCCCTGCAGAGGTTGTTTTGCTCTACGTGCTATTTTTTTCCTTTTAGTTGTAGGGAGTAGGCAAGAACCAGCGAGTATTACAGAACAGAGCTCAGTGTAAGATAAATACATTAAAATAGATTTTAATTCATTGAATTATTGTTTAATTTATTATGCAAGCAAAAGAAACTGTCCACAAATAGTAAGTTACTGTACGGCTGCAAGTACAATATTTTCAGAGCAGTTCTGATACTTCCTATACTGTATTAAAAGGCTACAATTTTTACTATGAAATCTCAGGTATTTCAAAATATTCTTACATGCACAATTTGTTTTTGTATTAAAAACCTTACACTTAACTGAAGATACTTAGTGCTTAAGAAAATGCACCTTTGACCAAGATCAGGAAATGAGAAGTTTCTTTTTCCTGCAGGACAAAAATATTATGGGCTGTTGACTTTCTCCTTTTACTCCATCTTTTTAGAATTTTGTAAACTAGATTTTTTAAAAGCTTTCATTTGGCAAGTGTATTTCTTTTTTCTAGAAGTTCACATGTCACAGAGCAACAGACCCATGTTTTACAGTATCAGGACCGTCTCCACATCAGTATTACCCAAATTAAAAAAAAACAACCAAACCCAACACCAACAAACAAACTAAAAAAAAACCCGACCAAAATCAAGCAATCCCCCCACCCCCCCAAAACCCCAGAAAAACCTGATGTTTACATTCTCATTCTGGTAGTAGGCAATCAAACTGTCCTCACCAAGACTCCAAGAGTGCAAACAAGCGTGTGTGTGTGTCTGTCTGTATCACTGTGCTTTTCCTCCTATCCCCAATAGTTCTGTTTGGAGGTTGCATTATTCCCTGAACTACCCATGTTTGACAAGTGGGCTGATGCCCCGTGGCGGTATATACACTGAAATACACACACACCTCGTACAGAGAAAGTACATATACATGAATGTCACTGTACAGTCCCAGTAATAGTTTCTCTCCCCATCCCCACGAATGTCTAACAGTGCTGCGGTGATTTAAAGACTGACCTCTAATGGAATACTCAGAAAATGCATTTACTCCCACAACATACAGTCACTGGACTACCACAAAAGGAGAACTAGCTTCAAACACTAGTTTGGTTCCTGTAGACGCTGCTATACGTTTACATTCCTATAGAGATAGTTATGTAGTTTATCTGCTTCTGCTGATCAGCCAAGCTGTGAATGGAGGAATTCTTTTACTACAGAAGTTAATGAATATGAAACCATGCATTTAAAAAACATACTGCATGCTTTACAATCACACGGAGAACTCCGTCTTCAGTAGAAACACTGTAAAATTTGTCAAGTGTTCTAACACTAGAGTGGTTAAACATAAACTGGCAGAAAGAAACTGGTGTAAGTCACTGCCATACTCTGCTGGTGCTGCAGTCTTTCATATACCGTTTGAAACATCTTCTTATGTTTATTTCAGGTAGTCTTATATAGTTCTGGAAGGTTAAGAATTCATCTTTTGAAACATAACAGTAAGATAAACTGGTTTTTTTACTATCTAGAAATACTCCAAAGCTCACCAACAAATTACTTCATTAATACAATAAGGCAAGATAGTACTAGTCAGAAAGACAACTGAAAACCAGTCCTTCCGCCAAGATATAACTGCAAGGTGCATCAGCTATAAACTACAGAATAGTGTTTCATTAAGTGTTACGCCAACTTCATAGGTAAAATAGATTAAATTTCATTGAAAATTGCCAAGTATTGTTGAAAAGGAGTAACCAAATGATCAAAATCTAAGATTACCTACTTACTCTAATTCAAACCTTTACAAATGTAATCAGAAGAGCTAGGTAACATTTCTACAGCACACACGGACAGAATCCATCTTAATATGCATCTGCTGTACATGCTACAAAAGCACCAAGGCGTCACCAAACCCCGTAACCAGGTCAGCGTTGAGATTGGTCCCACGCTGCGGGGCCGGTCACCCCCACCCCAGGGGCCAGGCATCGCAGGGGGACCCAGGTGCAATGACACCTCTCACTTTGGGGTAACGGGTCTTTACACAGAAAAGCCAGTGTCCACTGCTTCAGCACAACGCTCGTGAAAAACAGCCTATCATGAGGTAGAATTTAAAAAGTAACACTCAGTGCATATTAACAGGCATAGAATTAAAGTCACAAGCAATCCACCAGTTCAAGGAATTTCTGATAGGAAAAAACAAAACCAGCTATGAAAACAAACCAACCAACCAGCCCAGGAACTGCTGTGAGTTTATGGGTGCCTCTTTGCCTCCAGAACAAACACGGCTCAAGCCTGTGACAATTTTACTTAAGATTTCTTCAAAATGTCACCTGTAGTTCCTTTAATGATGTTTAGCAAAGCATTAAATAAGATGAGAAAACAGCACCCTAGAAGCACAGAGAGCGAGTGCTTAGGGAAAAAGCCATCATGGTCCAGAGCAGGGATGGCGGGAGAACATGCTGCTACTGGATTTATTTTTTTTGGCTTTCGTGTTTGGTTTTTTACCCAAAATAGTTCAGCCAATTAAAAACTCCTTGTAGCTTAGCTCCGCCTTTGCATACAAATCTTGTATTCCACAACTGTCCTCAAAGTTTCTGTACAATTCACTTCCACTGCTTTAAGTCATAGAGGAGGGAGCACCCCTGAAATGCTTCTAACAAAGCCTCAAATCTTGGCCACCCCAGGGGTGATTCAGGTTTTCAGGCTGTTATTCGTTGCAGGAAGAGCTGGAGCAGACAGAAACCACGTATTTCTAACCAGCCTCAGACACACTTGTATGTTCTATTGATAGTCACTAGGCCCTATTTTTCATGACTTGGCCAATTAACTTAAAGTGAAAAAATACCTTTTAATGAATTGTGTTCCTTGCACACAGTTCCAGAAGACGCAAAAAGGTACAAGTGTCTGAACTGAAGAGCCACTGGTTTAGAAAACAGGGCATCTCTCTTCATTTATGATTTTGTCAACCTATTTTTGAGTTCAAGACAATAGTTTGAGCAACTAGAGAATTGCTCAGAAGATATGACATGGGACATTTCAACCTGTGAGTTCCTGTCTGAGAAGACTATGTGCATTTATTTGTGTTTTAAGTTAACTGAGTATATTTACTTAAAAAATTATTCTTTCTCCTCCAGCTGAGATGGTATTCCACCGAGACATCATCACCAAGTAATTCTGTTAAAAACCCATGAGAAAGCACGCTTAGGACTTTTACCCAAAAATAGGAAGTCTGCTAGCTGCACATACTTGACTACTTGAACGTAGTCGTTTTGCAGTCAGCTACTAGAGGTGATGAAAACCCAATGGAGGATTAATTAACTTGTCCTCAGATTACCAAATACCCAACACTGAAAGCTTTGTATTACTAAAGAAATTCTCCAAAAGAGGAAATTTAAGATTTTTTTTTCTCATAATGCAAAGGAACCTTAAGTTTCAAAGACTTCTCCAACAACACCCAGAGTATGCTACCTACACAAATTCAAAACTACAAGAGGATCCTCAGATTTGTGTATTTTCAGCTCTCATCTGCATAGATGTCTTCTTTTTCCCCAAACATGTATTTTGCAAAAGGCTTTTTAAGAGTCAACTTTTAAAAAGCACACTCTGTTGAGCCAGAGATAGTGAATCTGAATACCAAAATATGACAGTACTTTTTAGGTAGTTTTCCTGCTGAACTGAGTGTGTGATTGGTCAGCAAAACCTTAATGAAATACTAAAAAAAAACAGATCTTGGAACACATAAGTGATAAGAATATTATAAACTGATATGGATGTACAAGACTGAAATAACTGCATTTACAAGGTTAGCTACATTAACTTGAGGGCTAAAACTTGGCATTCGTACTTAATATGTGATTTAATGGTGAATATTAACATTTTTCACATCTTACGATAAAACTGGTTAAATCCGAATAGATCTTACTGTAGACAGGCATGCTTTTAATCCATTCCCAACGGACCCATCCCAGACAAGCTCCTGTCACAGAAATGGTGCAGGTGAGGTGTGGAAGAAGAGTCAGGCGGGACACAACCTTAACATCAGCAAAAAAGTCTGCAGTGTTAAGTTTCAAATGTGGGATTAAGGTTTATGTTACTGACATTGAAAGCTCAACTCTGGTGGCTGAGGAGTCAAAGCTGCCCAAGAGAGGCCGACGGAGGACACCCTCCTCATACCAAACATCTCAACAGTTTGTCAGCAGCTGTTACGTGGCAGGTGGGTCAATGGGTCCTCACCCACTCAGCTTCTGCTGCCCTGCCCCAGTCTCTTCCTACTAAATTCTCTGAGGAAAAAAATGTAGCTACATCTCCATCCAGAATTGCTTCCTTCTGGCAATAAACACAGTATATGCAATCACAGAAACCAAAATGCTAACTGCAGCATTTGTTGGCTCATTTTTCTAGCCAATGTTCCTGCAGAAAGTTGGCTCATTTTTCTAGCCAATCACAAACCACCAAATTAATATATAAATTAAAACAAAATTTTCTTTTCTCTGTATGACAGTAACTAATTGTGTTAGTTACGTAGAAAAGCAGCTCATTATCTAATAATCACCATATAGTACTTTCAGCCACAGCAAAGGCCAAGGAAGAGTAGGTGAGGAAGTCTGGCTCCTTTGGAACAAGGAGGTGTCGTACCTGGGTGCATCCGGGCTGAACTGCAGCCCCTGTCTCCTCTACATTTGTTTCAAATAGCCCACTTCAAGTTGCATTGGAGGAAATTATCAACAAGTATTATGGTACAAACAAACCAGAACAATGACTGGATGGCACAGGATCAGCAGGAGCAGAGGTCTGCTTGGAAGGCTGAAAACAGCACGCGGAAGCAGACTTGTGGATGCCATATGAGAACGCAGAGTGCTGGGCTGGAAACTGGTTCCACTGCTGTGTTCAGAGATCAGAGTAACTATGATCTTATCTGGATTCAGGGATTTCAGAAAGAACACACTTCAACTAAACTGAAGTAACAACCACAAACATCTGAAGGTCCTGTTGATGCAAGATGTGCCTAGAACTTTGGCTGATACAGAGAAACACGTCCGCTAAGGCACCCCGAGGCGATCTGACAGTGCGTTGGAGAAAACTTGGTTGTCAGTACCACGTCATTGTGGGAGTAGAGGGAACGGATTTCTTTCAGGGGACTGGCTTCTTTGGGCAAACAGTCAACAAGTTCGCTGCAGTGTGCATCAAACCCCAACAAGCGTATCCCAAAGCCATGCGGGGATGAAATCATCCTGCCATCGGGACTGAAACAAAGTTCTTTGATGTAACCCCTGCCCACATTGGCTTCTTCGATGCAGTGAGTCAGCCGCAGGGAGCAGCGAGGTGAGACAGGGCGCACAGGGGCTCCTTCCTGGAATTCATAGACACAAGTCCACTAAAGGGAGAGGCAGAGAAAGGAACATTGAAAGAAAAGTAAAGCACTGCAGATTCTCATTCCCTCCCGCTGCACACTGAGTAACACAGGGACGACTGACACTACTGCTCATCTGCTCTTCAACAAGCATCTACTGTGAAATACAGTCCATTGGCATCTCCTTCACTTTGATCTGTCTGAGCAAAACAGCTGTATAGCACCAAAGCCGTTTTTTTAATTAAATAGATGCTAGATATAATCTTTTAAATCTAGTTTTTACCTAGAAAGAGCATAGATGCTCTTTTTGGCCCAGGCATCTGCTCTAATTTAGTAAACATTTAAATGAAATCTACAATAAAGCCCACTGTAATTTAAATTGACCGTTGGAATTATGCCCTTAACTTCAAAGGGAAAGAAATCTTTGAAAAGAAATAGATTTTTGGAGGAATGCTATGAACAGGTATATAGCCAGATTGTTCCTTGTGAGACAGACAGGGATTTTAATGTGTAATCTAATTAAATAATCTCAAACCAAATGCAAAACCAGCTTTTTGAAAATTTTTTTTATCGTGTTGATTGTTGTTTCAGCCACAAGGCAAAGTAAGTGTTCTTAGTTCTGTTCCACATATTCTACTGAAATAAACACAAAGGGAACAATACTAATGAATATTAACAGAAGACAGTAAGGCAAACATTAGGATTATGGGAAATTATAACTATGTCAATCATCAGTATCAGCTAAACCAATATAATATTTGCATTTTCAAAAAATGCTATTGTATAGTGGTTTGATGATAAGTTTACAGAACCAGCACTAAAATTTATAACAAATACGCTAAGCTTCCATTCACTCCTCTACACATCTTTAAGAGGTTACCATTACCAGAGTGGCTTTCTTAAAAAAAAACACCAAACAAAACAAAACAAAAAAAACAACCAACCAAACCCCAAACCAAACCAACTCTAATTTATATCAGCTAGCAAATTAACTAAACTGTTTATTATTGGTCAAGTATTCAAAGAATTCTTTGTGGGTTTGGAAAACAAATACAAAAGCTCCATGCCTTGAAAACAGAGTGGTCTACACAACCGCCACAGCAATAACTTTGAAATAACCCTAGGAAAAAAGGTGCTTGCAAGAGGACCATTTGGTGGAGTCCACATCTTCTGAAGGCTCTGACTGGGCTTTAATTATTCGTGAACTTGAGTTAACCTGCAAGTTCCTTCTCAAAAACAGTTGCTCTAGCACACAATCTGGGGGCTCCTGTTTTTCTATACAGTCCATGAAGAAAATTTTTCATTATTCCATGTGCGTTACAGACTGCTTGTTTGCCTTACAACAATGTGCAATATATCAGCTGTTATGTGACAGTTCACAAACACAATCTGGGGAAACATAATCCACCTGGCCTTAAAGCCTGCCGTTACCTGGGAAGGGAGAGGCACCCAGCAGAAAACCTGCACAGGCTGGAAGAGTGGGATAACAAGAACCTTATGAAGGTAAACAGGGACAAGTGTAAGCTCTTGCACATGGGAAAACATAATCCAGGAGTGGGGCACAGGCTGGGACCTACCCGTTTGGGGAGCAGCTCTGTGGGAAGCGACTTTGGGTCCTGGTGGACAACAAACTCCATATGAGTGAACAGCGGGCTGCTGCAGCAAAGCAAGCTGATGGGACACTGGACTGCCTCAAGGGTATTGCCAGCATAGATAATGAAGTCACTATCCCACTCTACTTGCACTTGTCAGGCCACACCTGGAATACCGTGTTTAGTTTTGGTCCTTGCTATACAAAATATATGTAGCCAGGCTGGAGAGGGTCCACAGAAGGGCCACCAAGATGATCCAAGGAATGGGAAGCTGCCATATAGGGAAAGGCTGAGAAAACTGGATACATTGGCTGTCAGAAAAGAAGGCTCAGGGGAGACCTTATCACCATGTTCCTTTAAAGGGTAGCTAAAAAGAAGATGGAGACTCCCTTTTTACAAGGAGTCATGTGGAAAAGACAAGGAGTAACAGGTACTCCTGGGGAGATTCTGATGGGACACAAGAGAAAAATTTTTCACAATGAGAACAATCAGCAGTTGGAATAATCTCCCCAGGAAAGGGGTGGATTCCCCAATATGGGGCACTTTCAAGACTCAGCTGGACAGGCTGCTGGGCCATCTTGTCTAGACTGTGCTTTGCCAAGGAAGGTCGGACCAGATGATCCTTGAGGTCCCTTCCAACATGGGATTCTAGGATTCCATGATTCTTTAAAGCTGCACATTTCAGTCACCTAAGTACAAGTTGCATGTGAGCTGTAGCTGGTCTTATGACTTAGTACGTCAAGTACAGGTTTGAAATGGATTCTGCCAGGATAATCATTGATGTCCCCTTTGTATTAAGTTGCAGAGTTTGAGGGTGAGAGTTGAAACCAAGGCACTTTGTTACATAAGCTTCACTGGAACTCATATTCCGACTATGGTGTGGCAGTTTTAAGTAGATGCAGAAATATACCATGACATTTTTTACTACAGTGTCGGAGCAGCCTCTGGAAAGCATCAGGGGCATAGCAGGAGCACTTCATCCTTGAAGCATCAATGGAGGCAGAAAACATTCCAAAGGCACCTGAGGAATTTAGAGGAGCTTCTCTGCTCAACTTGAACCATGTATACAACTCTCTAATCCTCTGTCTTTTCCAAGTTCATGCCTCATATGTTTTATCAGTTACATTTTTCTAAGTCATGTATGTGGCAGCACAACTACTGCTTGAAAACTTAGCAGAGCTGTGACCTATCAAAAGTATTCTGTGACAGAGCTGAGCAACAGGAGTACTGAATGTGGGATACAAAGTCATATGAGATCATTAAAAAAAAATAAAATTAATAATCTTTGTGAAAAAAAAATTGTAAGCAGAAATAACAGACTAATTTATTCAAATGCAAATTTACTCCAGAGCAAGGAAATTTCAATATAGTTTTATGATCAATACATCTTATTTAATGTATTTTTTAAAAAAACATATTTGTTTTACCTCTTGGTCGTCTGTGTTACTTGAGCACCGAAGAAGTGTAGCCCATCCTTTTGGATGTAGCTGTAGTGATGTAATGCAATTACCTCGATCTCTTTCTCCAGGAACCTCGGGTGTTAAGACCTCCAAACTATTTCTAGGTGATCCACCTACAAGGGGAAGCCAAAGGCAAGGTCTCAGTGAAATCTATACACTGATCTTCACCTCATCAGTCTAGTGCTGACACTTGCATCTGACTGCTAGAGAAAGATGCACCTTCATGAAAGGATAAATCAAATACGAAAGATTGACGCCAATACCAATGGGCTCAGTCCTGCTTTAAATAGCTTCTTTTTTGAAATTTGCTTTCCTAGAGCTGCATTATATCATCTCATATTATGAACTAAGTCAGAGTTAGCTTTCTACACATACGCTCTTCACTATCATTAACACAAAATCTAAAGAGTGGGGGGGGGGTTCTAAAAATTACTGGTTCTCAAATATATATGACATCCTTTCCAAACTCCTTCCAAAGCCTGTATGCAGTTTTGCTTTTCCCCCCCTCTCCCCTAAAAAGCTCTTCACAGGTAAATCACGCCCAGGCACCCAGATAAGCCTCCTCCTTTCATAAGTATGTTTGACGATTTCACAGCCATGAGTAGTTAAAACTTCACTTTATACTTATTTGAAACAGCATGTGATTCACAAAGTATTTGGCCAATTTGCCAAGTTTGCACTGACTTTCTGAAAGTGCATCCTAGATTCAGAGGAAGCCTGCCAGTCACAGGACCATCAGTTTTCATACCTCTGTAGTCAGGTAGGACTTAGTTTGTAATCAGAACTCCACAAAACACTGTGTCCACATTTAAGACCTCTTTTCCTATTCTTTTTCAATTCTATTGACTCCTCATGGAGAAATTGCATACACATTCTCATCATTAAGGAAAACAAAAAGCAAAACATAGCTATGTTCTGCTCTGTTGTTTTGGGGGTTTTTTTCCTTCTTTTTCTGAAGGTCATTCACACAAGCTTTGACGAAAAAACACAAGGAAAAGGGAGCACCTCTACATAACAACAATAATGTACTAATATAAAATAAAGACCTTGTTGCTGTCATCAGATTTCTTGGAAAAAAATGATTAGATCCCCAGCCTTCAGCATGCAATATTTTATTGGTTTAATAGAAGTCATAGCAACACTATTGTTTTAAAAGTCACAGAGACAAAAACACAGCTCGTCACTATTATATTCTGGTGTCTTCTGGATAGAATGAGTCAAAGTCCATGATTTTTTTATTACCTTTTTTTTTTTTTTTTTTAAAATCTTTTCCTACCTTCTCGCTGGGAGGACCGAGACATGTGTTTTTCAGTCAGCAAGCCTGAATCATTCTGGTGACACGGTGAACCAACAGCCCGGGGACCGGAGGAACCCGATGAAGTTATGTCTGCAAACAGCACAAGCCAGGTGAACACCACAGCCACGCATAGCCCACTTACCACACACGGCCCGCACTCAACTCTCCTTACAAATGCTAAGTGAAAGGTAAGGCACCCTGTTAAGAAAACACTTTTGAAAGCTTAGTTTATAGTCTAAAAGTACCATTCTGTTTGTGCCTCATACAAATAAACCGCCAGCACAACAAACTCTACTGGGAACAAGAGGTGAGCTGCGTTCCTTCCTTCTTACACTGTCACTACCAGAAGCTGGGGTACGCATTCTTCCCCAGGCCACTTCCTTTACATCCTGACACCCAAATGGCAGAGTTTCTGTCAGTACTCTGTTCTGGTACTGCCATAAAGCAGTGAAATTTCAGAGAAGGTGATTTTTCCATGTCTGCGCCAAGAGCAACCACACCACTATACGAGTCATGAGTAGTCACTGGAGCTCACACACAGTCAGCCCACTCAACATGGGTTGTTTCTTCTGTTACAAATAAAGATAAATAAAGCAAGAGACTGACAGCTCAAGGTGACAAAATTCCACAGGCACTTTATCATGTAGTGCAGAAGTCTTGCTACCAAAACCCACCCTGAAGACTTTACCCGAGCCAGAACATACCACTTGACAGTACAGATGTGCATGACCCCTGAACAACGGAGGTGCCACTGTGCCAAAGCCTCGGCAGAATCCTTCTGACACTACCTCTGCCTTCTTTTGCCAGTTAAGAATATCCCATAAAACATCTCTAAAACAGAAGCTGCCAGAGACTTTTCCACAGCATTCACCTGAACTTGTTGTAGTCCTCCTCGCCCTTAAAATTGGGTAGCTGCCAACCTCTAAAGATTTGTTCAGGTCAAGGTCATGCAAAATCAGAAGATATCCAGAGGAGGTTGAGATCAACATTTTGGAACAGTCTGGCGTCAGCCTCATTCGCATAAGAAAACGGGTGTGAAAAAACTTCTTGTGGGGACATCCATCTTCTGTGCACCTGGACAGCGAAAAGGAAGCACAAGAAAAGCCTGCAATTAGCTTTGACTCAAGTCCCTAAACATGTCCAGAAGAGTCGAGGATGTGCTAAGCACCCTTATTCATTCAAAAACTTTTTTTGAGTACCATCTTTATCCTACTTAAATCAGATTTTAATGAAATAGCAGTAGTCACATTCTCATACTACCACAACAATGAAGACAGAGCTCTTTCAAGACAAATAAACAAAACAAAAAAACCCCCCTACTACTACATTTTGGCACATCAGCAAGATGTGCACATCACTTTTTAACTACTGGACAAATATCATACAAAGGTGATGCAAGTTCTTGATAAGGGCTATAAACTAATCACAGTATTTAAGACAGCAATATAGCACCATCCAAGGAAACAGGTTTTTCATCTTCTATGGAAGAACCTCTAGAAATGCAACAGCAGCAACACAGCAGCCACATACCTGTTCGTGTCCCAGATGATCACGTTTCCATCAAACCCCGACGTTACTAGTAATCTTGTATTGGTATCATACTCAATGTTCTTAACCCAGCTAGTGTGACCATGCAAAGTGCACACTTTTGTGTTCAGCTTTCTCAAATCCCAAAGTGCTATTGTAGTGTCATCAGAACAAGTCGCAAACAGTCGATTATCTAGAAACCTGAAAACAAGAGAGAAATACTGTGGCTGCTTAGTGCCTTTTCCAATTTAAATATTCTTAAGCAGGAGTTTAAGCTAACAGAGAAATAAATAGCTGGCTGCACAAAAAAATGAACATACAGCAGAATATTCGCCAATAAAACAGTTCCACTAAAAAACAGTACTGTTGGGATATGCACCAGTAGCACATCCCCAATAGCAAGCTAACAAACCCACAGAAGCATAGCAGAAGGTTTTTTTTGGCTTTTTTTTTTTTTTTTTTAAAGCTGCAAGCAGTTGCTGGACTTTTAAGAGTCATTCCCATCTGGATTTCCAATGGATCTGAACATGAGTTATGCTGCCAGTTCATCCCTGTATCCCACCTAGCACAAATCTGCACTAAGTGTTTCTTATCACTGTGCCCTGACTCTGCCTTAACCTGTACGTTGAAAAAGTGTTCTGTAAATATTTCAAAGCTGTTACTAAATTGCACTGTAAAAAACCCCCACAAAACCCAAACCAATAAAAACTTTTCTACTGTTTATGCTTCAATTCAAAGACAGCAGAAGGTTTTTTTTTGGCTTTTTTTTTTTTTTTTTAATTAATCACAAAAAGATCACATAACCACCAAACCATCAGTGGAACAAATCCTGTGGTGGATCTGTGGGTCCCTGTGGTAACTAAACCAGTTACCCATCTGCACAATACTCAGTTTTAAACTTACCAAGTCTTTTAAAGACACAAATATCCTTGGACTAGTCAGTCAGCTTTTGGACCACTAGCAAAATGTTCCCTCTGACTATTCAGTAGTCCCTGCGGCAGAGCTCTGCCAGCCTCCAGAGCTTGCAGTTTTTACCTTTCATCTTCCCCATCTTCACCAGAGCCTTTTGCTGCTACAAAGAGGCAGCACCAGAAGACACAGCAATCCTACCCTCCTATAAGACTACACAAGATCCTATCAGCTTGTAATTAATTAAACCCATGCTCCTCTTTACTCTGTTCATTTCTTTGACACCTTGCTGCTCCGTATGGTGCTCTACCAACCACATGGCCTGCACTACAAACGGTACTATCTTGGGAACATGAACTAGATTTAAATCTGAACACTACCACTGTTTGCATATCTCCCTGGCCCCTTAATTTCATCTCACCTTTGCCCATCATTCCCTTCAGAGCCCCTCAGCTCCGCAATGCCCTGAGGTAACAATTGCTGCAGCCTCAGACTCAGGAAGAGCCATGCAGGCTTTCTGCATCCAGGGAGGTCTGTACCAGGATGGTCTCAACAGTCTCCACCAAAAAGGGGCTTTTACTCCCATGTTTCTGCCTTTCCTGTCCATCTGAAGCAGACACATGAAGTTGGGCTTTTCAAATGCACAAAAGCAGGGACGCATGTCACAGTGCAAGTACAGAGCACTGTGCAGAGCACTCTTCAGTGTGAAAATTTCAGATCATCTTTGGAAGCAGCAGCTGCACAAGTGCTACAGGCTACCCAAATTCATGGACTCCTTCCATACTGATGTGCATTTGAGGATTTGAGTGGTTTGAGTTTGAACCTCAACAGAAGATTTAATTCTGTTCAGCTCAAAGTACTGCAAGAAGAGCAAGCCTACTGCTCCAAATTTCACACGATATTTACAGACCTGCAGTTCTATAGCACACTTTTATGCAGTAGTGAATTTCTATCACACACATGGTGCATGTTCTGCACTTAGCAGGTCTGGAGCTCCTGCTTTCTGAACAGATGACAGGCTCCTCACTATTGGGAGAAAGTGGAAAAGAATATGGGTCACACTAGTTGGGTAATCACACTGATCAGGTTAAGCACTTTAGTTCTTCATCATGATAATCTCTGGTCTTCAGCCAAAATTCAATGTATACAACACTCCTGCATGAGGCAGCTTGACCACCCTCAAGTGATTCCAAAAGGAAAGAATATCTGATGTAAAAACACTTCAACAGACAGAAGGGGATAGAAGGGCTGGAATGAGCACTAAAAAGGCAGAGGTAGGTAATAAATTGCATAAATTAATCTAGAGGATACTGAGGCAAATGAAAGACTTTTCAAAAACACCAAGCGAAGATAAGATTTTGAAAGCGTACTTAGACAAGTTATTTGGTTCACCAAGAAAATTACTGGATCAAATTATTTAGTTTGCATTACACAATCAAAAGTTATTATACTCCATCCCCACTGCAATTTATGCATGCCCTTACTTTTAGAAGGCCAAAGCATACAGGTTAATGTTTGGAATTCATGCCCGTGAAGGCATTTGGAAAAAAAGAAAAAAGCTCAACCTGACATTAAAGGGAAAATAAAACCTATCCGAAAAACACCAGAAGTACATGAATACTAAAGCAAGAATGATCTACACAAAGACATGTGTTAAGTTACCCCTAGAAACAGCATTTTATCTTTTAGACTTAGAACCAGGCTACATCACGTAAAACCAGCAACAACCCAATGAAAAATAACCATCCACAATGGGAAGAATCTAACGTTGCATTTTATCAGGGCAAAAGTACAACAGAGTACACCTCTTGCCTGTATAAATCCATCATTTGCCTTTATCTTGGATGCTACAGCAACCCTGCTTCACCCACCACAAACAGGTTTCAGAAGAAACAGACAGGGAGGTACAAATGGTCCATATAGGCAATGACTAGGATTCACTGGAACAAGAGCTCATGGAAGGTGCATATGACTCAGGCATATAGAACTGACTGACACAGAGAAAGTAGATATAGATTAATTATTCCCTGTCTTCCTACTTAAGAGACGAAGACAAAAAAAAAAATAAATAGAGGGCCTCAAACTAAGTTACCAAGATTTAAAAATACTATTAAATCCTCCTTGAAACACATTTATGCCATGGAGCTCTGCCATGGGAGGGTTTTAAGTAAGCTCAAAACCTGACCAAGTTCAGGTAGAACAAAATTTCTGCTTCAGATGATTACACACAAATCCCCAGCAGCTGCAAGACTACTGGAAAAGGACCACTACGTGCTTCCCTGTTCCCACACACCTCTGAGGCACCTCCTATAGGGCACAGCAGTAACACTTCTTTTTGGTGCTTATTACAAGGAATTTCTGTAGTAGTGTAATGCCTGGAGTCCTGCTCATTAAGCAGAAACAATACTCCAGGTAATGCTGTACTAACCGTGCCTTACAGAATATAGTTAAGTACCTTGTAACTTAAGTTTATAACGACAAACAAATGGGGACATGCAGGAAGACACAGAAAATTACTCTGGTACCCTACAAAATAAAAATAAGGCTTTAAGAAGCATTTCAAAAGGGCGCAGGAAATTTAGTACACGTTGTTAGGAAGGACCTTAGTCTGGTGATTAACAGTAGATCTGAGAGTTATCTGCTTGGAGGTAGTACTTATGTTTTGATGCAAATCAAACCACACTGAGAAAAGACATTTAAGGACTAAAAACAGACTTACAAAGCCTCACAGACAGACAAAGTGGAAAGAAATGAGATCGTTCGAATAAGAGAAGAGAGGGGCAGGAAATTTCAAGGCTGTTCTCAACCAAGGAACGAGATAAATCTCAAGACCAGCACAGCCGACCACAACAGAGACAGCCAAGAGTGAAGGAGCCTGTAACAGAACATCCTTTGTAAAACATGATGCAGACTCACCTGAAACCCCAGCGAGAGCAGTCTGAGTGATAGGATCAGATACTGCATCAGGGGTGCATAAAAAGCAAAATAAATCTGATTTGCCTTCGCCTTCCAATATCTTGGCTTTATTTCTCACCTAGCTTTATCTAAAACTAAGCACATTTAAAGGACAACCACCGGCATGCAAGATGTGAACAACTGCATTTCCTTACAGAAAAGCATGTTCTCAACATCTCCTCTTCTGTGTCAGCTAGCCCCAGCTTTTACTGTAGCTTTTCTGAAAGACATCCAACTGATGTAAAACTTCAGTCTCTTCTAAAAAGGACAGGCAGCTTGTGAAAAACATCAATTTATCTGAATAATGCATAAAGACACTGGCAGCCCACATTTTATCCAGCTCTTTTGAGGAGAAATGCTCAGACTGCTTCTACAGTTTTCTTGGGGGTTTTGGCAAGGTTTTTTTCCTTTGAGAATCTGAGCGAAGAGAAGCTGCAATATGACCCACAAGGTTAAAAAGTGTCAAGTTCACATGTGAAATTCTATCTTCAGACCCAGGACAGCTAAAAATAATAGAATTTAAAAGGAAAAGCATTACATGACAAAAATACTGACGTTTTAGGTTCCTACGCTTGCTGTTTCTCACTTCATTCTGAGAAACAGGCAAAGGATTTAAACCATAAAGACTGAGTTTAAGTTGAATTGCTGAAGCCATTTCATTTTCCCAGCTCGTCTATATCATACTGATATTTAGAGCAGTCAATATTTGTTTGGAAATTTCTATGCAACTATGGCAATTACTCTTATGCTTCAAAATACCAGCCATATTCATGTAAATACCTGATCTTGCTGACGTCTTGGACTTGCACTTCAAACATAAAATCACACACAACTTGTTACATTCTGATTTACCATGTTCATTCAGGGCATTCCAAAGGCCATTTAAAAGAGGTGATAATACCTGTCCTGGTTTGAGGTGAAACAGAACTAATTTTCTTTTCAGTAATTTCACTTTTCAGTCAAGCATCTTTAACTGACTGAAATTAATGGCATATTATGTCTGCTTCTAGTAGGTAAGGTCTGATATTTATAGTGAATACTAGGAAATGGCGTGCAGAGAGGCTCCTGCTTATACTAATTGCTATAACAACGAAGGTCAGCTCCCTTCATGTACCAAGGAGGGGACATGAGACCCAAACCAACAAACAGGATATTCCACCCCATCTGCCTTATGCTCAGTATAAAAGATAAGGGATCAAAGGGTCAGCTCTTTTTCTTATTATCAATTCTAGTGCATGTGTTGCAGGGGTGGTTTCCTACTAAATATTGGTGCAAGAGTAGGCTTCCACCACCCATACTGGCATGAGCCACTCCAACTGCTCTGACAATGAGCACTGTGACTACTCCAACTCCATCAGTTGTACAAGTCACCCCGTGATCAGGAAGCAGAAAAACAGGTCAGTTCATTCCCCAGCCCCTTATGACAAAGACCACATAAAGGCAGATAGCATGGGAGAGACCAGAAGACCCAGGAGAGGGTCCTTGCCAGGTAGAGCAACCTTCTCAAGCAGATTGGGGGAGAGTCCTTCTTGGGCAGCATCAACGCAGGAGGAGGTAATCATTCAATCCTTATCTATGAACTTGCAAAACATGAGAAAGGGCTTTAGCCATTGTGAAGGTGAGACACTGATCACCTGGTTGCTCTGCTGCTGGGATAAGGGGGTCAATACCACAGATTTAGATGGTAGAGAAGCTGGGCAGCTGGTAAACCTGGCCAGAGACAGATGTATCCCTAAAGCAAGTGGCAGAAAGTCAGACACTCCCAGTCTCTGGAGGCGACTTGTGTCAGCTGTAAGGTGCAGGTATCCCTTTAAGGACGACGTTGGATGCTGCCCGATCAAATGGACACCACAGAGAAAGGTACCCGAGAGAACTGGCTGTGCAAGAGGTGATTTATGGTGACTGTCAAATGATGAAACATTGTGCAAACAGCCTTTGCTGCAGGAGTTTGTGCAGAGTGCACCACCAATGTATTCCCTCCCACACACTGTCTACAGTGGTCTGGGGAGGATCCGACACACCAACTGCAAATGAAGCGGCTAACAGAGTACGACAGTGTGAAGACAGTCTCTCTCCTACCCTCACTGTTGCAGCTGTGGAAAAATTGGCTGAGAAAAACCAAGAAAATGACTGAGAAAAACAAGAAATTATTTGAACAACTGTTTGAGAAACTGTCTAGGATGTAGGAAAGATCTCATTCTTCTCTGGCATGGACCCATGTTGCAGCCATTAGGAGAAGACACTCTTTCCCTCCCATAAACCGCAGCTCTTCCACCAACAAGACCACCTATCAGCATTATATATCACCACCACCACCCTCAGATCCCTTCTCTTCCCCTTTCCAGCCCTTCCTCACCTCAACACTGAAGAGAAGGAAAATGGCACAAAGCAAACTGCAATCTAATGGCTTCACAAAACCCACTCCCTCAAGAAAGTACACAACACAAACTTATCACACTGTCATAAGAAAAGTATCCATGGTAAGACAAAATACAAGGTCTTTTATTCCATCTGGCCTACCTGATATTATTTACACAGTCTTCATGAGCTTCAGAGAGAGTTTTGATGTGCTTTGAAGATATCGGGTCAAAAAGCAGTACTTCAGTCTGTTCACAAGCAACAGTCAATACTGACCTGCAGGGGAGGAGAGCAAAGTAGAAACATTTGTATTCAGTAAAAGAAATTACAGGGGTGTGCACCCAGCTACCTTCCATTCCCCACAGCTTCTCCACCCTTCGCTGGGCTTCCTGCTCACGCTGCACAGTCTGCAACAGGGATTACGGGTTCTCATTGCCTTCATGCAGATGCCTATTCTCAAGCACCTCACACACAAAAAAATGTAGAAGAAAACAGCATGTTGTTTTATTCTGGAGAAGTTAACTCCCATAACTCCTTCTCCAGAGACCATGGCTCTTCTCCTGCCTGGACACCAGTGTAATTAGCGCACAGCTGGTGCGCTCACTGGACAGACCCCATGATCTTTTAATTCACTTTTTTTTTTTTTTTTTTAAATGTTTTATTCTGGAGAAGTTAACTCCCATAACTCCTTCTCCAGAGACCATGGCTCTTCTCCTGCCTGGACACCAGTGTAATTAGCGCACAGCTGGTGCGCTCACTGGACAGACCCCATGATCTTTTAATTCCTTTTTTTTTTTTTTTTTTAACATGCAAGGTGGTTGTTTTATACCAGCTATTTACTTCATAGATCCAATTATGACATTATTTAAATTGCACAGTTAAATGTATTTATATCTGGTTTTTTTAGCAGTTATTTGAGGGTTATTTGTCCCATCACTGCAGTGCAATGTATGAATCCAGTGATTCCTGTCCGGGAAAAAAAAAATCAAACTCTGGCATGAAACCCGCTGCTTTGTTCATGTGAGGATATTTGCTTTATGTTGCAGGAGACAGGAAAGAAAAAAAAAGAAAAGAAAACACCACCCAAGAGTAAGTGGAAAAGCATCTACTCTGAAATTCTACTGCAGATTTCCCAAATGACTGGGAATGCCCATATCACGGTTTCCCTCTGTCCATCCTCTGGCAACACTTTCCAGGGGGTGGGAGATGCTGCAATTTGCTTTCTGGGTGCCAGCCCACATGCTGAATAGCTCCATAACAGGCAAGGGTCTGCCAGAGACCTCAGGGAGGGAGGGAGCGCAGCCTGCACCAAGCGCTGGCCACCAGCTTGCAGGGGGGAGCCAGCCACCAGCCACCCCTCCCCTGCATGACCACCGCAGTAGCCTTCACCAAAGAACTTCCAACTTCTGGAAACAGCCCCCTCCAGCCCCATGCCATTATCAACCATGACTGCGTCTCCCTGAGACCTTTACAGATGTCACCCCAGATACACCGCCTCTTCCCAACAGGCAGCCCCTGCTGAAGGGCAACCACCGCCTTCCTCAGGGAAAAGGCATCGGTACAGTTTTCTCACTGCCTGCCATAACAATGGCTTCAGTGGCTAGTGACTTTGGCATTCACCCAAACACAGCATGAAGATGACATTCAGACTGCGTATTCAGGAGCAGAATTTTTAAACCAGACTGTAAAGGACAGCACCCTTCCCCCACAGCCCCACTACTCAAGCAACTCTGCTGATGACCTGCGTTCTTCAACACCAGAGTAGTATGAAGCCAGTAAATGCTACAGGCAGAAATAAGACCAATTCAAAGCTTTATGTAAAATATCTAGCCTTTCTGCAACCAAGCCATTTTTTCACTGAAAGCTTGTATTAAAAAGTTTAGATTTAAAAGTTTTACTTTTTAAAATAGCAAGAAGTCAGGGGATTGCTATCAGACATCATATGCTATTAAGTACAAAGAACAAGAGTTCTCTGACAAAATATATTGTTTTCTAAATGCAGCAGTGATGTTATGGAAGTGATGGTCAAAGACAGGAACAGCAAGGCATTGGCACACATCTAAGTTGGGCATTAGCAGAGACACAGGCTGGGAACTTGGCTAATTGTTATCCATGTTCTTTAAGATCAATGTCACAATAGATACTAAACCACACTACCATTACCACTCTGAGGACACAGAAAAGTCCAGAGCAAGGTTTAGCATCTTTCTGCATCAACTAATTCACTTGCCAAAACCAGAACAACTTCCAGGAACTACAATTTCAAGGACATTAACCTCCTTTTAAAAAAAGCACCTTTTCTTCCCCACCTGAAGGCCTCTGTGTATCCATTTACAGCTTTCCTTGGAGAAAAAAAAAATTAAAAAAAAACTACACCAAAGACCTTGTCCAGGATACACATTATTTGTGGATGAGATCGGAGAGGTGTCTGTGGAAAGATCACAGGGGTGTGAGCAGGCACAGAAAACACCCGCTCAGGCAGGATGTCCAGCTCCGCACCAGCCTCTCCTGTGGTACCCACATTTACTGGGTTTACATGTGTTGAAAAGGTCTAAGTGCAATGACAGGTCAGTGACAGTGAGGTCTGGCCTGCTAAATTAGCAAAGCCGACCTCCAGAACAGCTCAGGGGCTGCCCCGGCCCTGCAGAGCCCCAACCTGCACAACGGCATCGGGCAGGAGGGTGGCACGGTGAGCCCTGGGGAGCAGCTCCTGCTGCGCACAGCCCAACGGCACCATTCCCACCAGGTCCCCACAGCAGCTCCCCAAGGAGCCAGAAGGGGCAAGAGACAGGGATCCAGCATCACTGGCCACAGTCAGTTCTCTTGAGAGAAGCTGCAGAGAGACCAGGAGTCTCCACCGCGCAGGACAGGTCTGGCCAGCTCTGTGACGGCTCCCAACTGGGCACAAACCGCAGAGAAACAGGCAGAAGTGAGCCAGGTTTGGGCTGTTTTGTTTGGGCAGCTGAGGTTCAGAGCCGTGATGAGAACCCACGCCCAGCAGCACTGGTGGTCTGCTGGGATAGCCCTGTGAGCACTCCATGGACACGGCCCTGCAACACCAGAACTTTCTTGCTGGGTTCGTTTTAGAGCAGGAGATCCCTGGTTTAGCTCATCATATGAGCAGCCTCACACACATCCGGCACAAAGGAGGGGGGGAGAATACAGAACTGCACCTTTTGCCAGAAACTTGCACAAATAATCTTAAAACAACAGCCCAGTTGCACTGCTACTGCAGCTGACACTTTCTACGCTGGTAGAGAACACCCAGGTGTGGATATTTTTCCAATTCCATTGCTGTGGCTAAGCCAGCAGAGCCATTCCCCCAGCCTCCCCACACCACAGAGAGGACGCTGGGCATCAGGGACCTTCTGCGCACCCAGCTGTGGATCTACAAAAGAAACCACTTTCCAGCAACAGTCCCTGAGGATAGTTTTGACAGTTTCTGTAGCTTAACTTTGTCCTTTTCGAAAAAATGGAGGAACAAATAAGGAGTTGAACCTCAACTCCACAGCACAGCTATGGCAAAATCGTCATGAGTTCAGATGTTCATGGAAACCAAAAATCTGTTCTGACAAAAACTCACTGAAAACAGAGAAGCTGACTAGCCATCAAGGGTAACAAAGATTTCAATTCTGACTATCCAAACTGAACACACTGCTGAGACCACCCTAGCTAGCAAGGCCTTTCTGCCAAGAAAACTTCGCAGGATACAAATATGCAGGCGTGTCTGAACCGAAATCGCTCTGGTCTCAGCTGGTGTGCGAGGACTCACCTCCTCCCCAGTGAGCCCAACTGCCGCTCGCTTTTGTCTACACGTGTCTGCAGCAGGACACCCGTCAGCTCCCTCCTCACCGCGGACGCATAAAATTCACGGAACCTTCAATGAATAAGTATCACGTTTCAAACAGAAACTTGGCTCTCTGAGGGCACCTGGCACAAGCTGCGCGTTAACGAAGGGGTTCCACCATCCTGTTCTGCACCGTCTGCCTCAGTCCACCACCTCCCCTCCTCCTGCGGGAGAAGCCCGGAGCGACGCCGGGCCCCGGGACGGGATCACGGCGGGATGCGGGCTCCCCGCAGGATGGGACGGGGGATCGCGGCGGCGCGGGCCGTGCCGCCCTTCGCGGGCAGGAGCGACGGAGCGCCAGGGCCTCCCGCCCGGGCCTGCCGAGCAGAGCGCATCTCCCCGGGGCCGCGTCCCCCCGCCACGGGTTACGACAACCACGGCCCCCCCGCAGAGCGAGAACGGGCGGCGGTCACCCGCCCTGCACGGCACCCGAGGGGAAACGGGACCGGCGCGACGCCGGCCAGGCAGGAGCGGCGGCGGGGCGGGCGGGGGAGCGGCGCTGGGCCCTACCCGTCGGGCGAGTACTCGAGATTGAAGACGGCGCCGTGCGTGCGGGTGCTGAGGTACACGGAGTCGGCGGGCTGGATGGAGCCGTACAGCCCGGTCATGGCGCGGAAGGTGTCCCGCGCCGGGTCCACGGCGGCGCTGCGGCCCAGGCAGCGCCCGCGCAGCCACCCGAACAGGCCGGACCCCGGCGCCGCC